AGCCTGCTGGGCAGAAGCCAGGTTCCTTGATCAACAGCTAGCATCTGGGCTCTTCTCTAAGCATTTGTTAATTGCTTGTTTTTTTGGTTTTTTTTTTTTTGAAGGGAATCATCTGTGACAAAAAGCCCCTTTCCTAGTCTGCAAAAATATATGTGCAGCACAGAGTAACCTTGCCGTAAGAGAATAGCGAGCTGCTTTGGGCTCCCATCTGGGGTCCGTTGAAGATATTAATAAAAGAAAGGTTAAGAAAGGCCAGGAGGAGTTAGTGACTTATCTAGCACCAACTTGAGACTCAATGAAATTAAAACAGTTGAAAACAAAAATTATAATGGGAGTAACTTTCCCACTTGGTGAATCTGTTGTGTTTATTTCCAGCAGGTAGCTGCCTGTACTATCTGAAATTTCCTCATGCTCCAAGAGAGAGCGAGTGCATCTCCCACTTTGACTGGAAAAATTTGATGTATGCTGGTCCACCTGCAACCACAAGGACATTCTAGAATCTCTCTTTCTCAGCCTGCAGGAGAGGTTGAAAAGAAGAGGGCAAGGGAGCAAGAAAGATTTCTTTTAAATAATTATAATCATTATGTATACATCTGCTAGTGGGAGACTCTGGGAATTATATTTTAAAGACTAGAAAGAATTTCCTCCTTTGATCTTGATTCAGAGCTAGAGAAAATCAAATTAAGAAAGAAAATCAAGGGAGGATTTTCAGTGGGAAGGAAAAAACAGGGTTGGGGTGTGGAGTGGGCTTCTGGGGAAAAGATGGGGTGAGGGAAAACCCCTGGACACTTTCCTTTCTCTTCTAAATGTTGGTAGGTTGAGGAGGAAGAGCTGAGAGCTAGAAAGAAAAGGTGAAACAGGCAAAGTGGAGGGTTCACATCTCTCTTATAGAACTCCCCACCCTCCCTCCAGGGCCCTCCAGAGTGCTACCATCAAGTTGGTGAAGAACTGGTTCCTGCACATCAATCAAGATGGCGGGGCTTCCTCAACAATGGTGCTCACTCTAACAGGAGCCCTGCAATTTTTCACCAACACTGAGCCAAATGCCACAAGAAAGATTAGTGGGTGTGGGTGTGTGAGGAGTGGTATTTTATTTTAATGGTCCCGTCTCTTCTCTAATTTTCTTGTGTGGTTGCTAAG